AACCAAACAGCTTGCACAGTATAGCTCCTAGAACATTTTGTATCGCCCTTGTGCATAAAGATTTGAGAATGTAACAGCTATTCCATGTCATTCAGCAATTTCCTGTGTGAGTCGGTGCAGAGGTATTTATCTCTGAGGAACTTGCAGAAACCTTCATTCTTAAGTCACTTGAAAGGAGGGGGGATGATGCAAACTCTGTAAATAAGCTCTGTAGTGTGGTCTGTAGCCCTGATCCAGTCTTTGGTGTCTGGGAAGCATTCAATGGCCCTTCCAGCCAGCCTGTAAAGGTCACTGAAAAGTTCCCAGGGCTTTTGGTTGCATTCATTTAGACCCAAATAGGATGATGGTTTTTTGTAACTTCACTTTCTGTGATTCTATTAGAAAACCTCACTTCCATTCATACAGCAATATTTCCATAAGGCCAAATTTCACTCTCACGTTGGAAAAATAGCAGCTTTTGGGCTCACCAAGAGCAGCATTGAAATTAACTTTAAGCTGTTGCCTTCAAGGCTTCTACATTCATTAGAGTTTACAAAGCATTTTCTTCGTCGGTGTAGCTTTTAAGTGGAGAAACTGGCACACCATACCCCTCCTTTCAAGTGCAGCTCCCTTTGTACAAGGGTGTCTCTGCCCTTAGCTACGGCTCCTCCATGTCACCTTAGCGTAAGCAGCAACAGCTCTTTACTGCGACCGAGCAGTCTTAGAAAGCATCTGAAGAAACTTCGTCACTAAAACCTGAACTTCTAAATTGTGGAAACAAGCTCAAGCTGGAACGCGTTAAGTTCCCTTTTCCTGATCTTATATTACCCTCTAGTGGCTGAGTCCTTGAGCACCGGAATCTAAAGTGTTTAACTCAAGGTTTTCTTTCAAGCATTGCCCTTTAACTGACCATATTTGACCTCTGTATTTCCAATAGGTTTTATGTTTTTTAAAAAAACTTTCTCCAAAATAATAGAAAACGTGCAAAACCAACCGAATCACTTTATCTTTGAAGGAAATGAATGCGAGAAGCATTGTATTTTTGCCAAAGAAGAAAAAATGGTCTTCAGCACTGAAAAATGGAGAACCACAGTCTGAAGACAAAAATAGATCCTAAAAATGGATGAAGGTCTATTTTAAACCTCCCCAACATCTTTCGAGACTAGGTAAGGAATGAGGAAGGCAGAAAAGGCAATGAGATTAAATATTAAATACTTCGGAAAGTATATTGAAAACTTCCATTTTTACTTGGGGTTGTTATAGAGGAGCAGTCATTCAAGGGTTCTAGGGAATAAAATTGTTTTAAATTTCAGCTTCTGTTTCTAATTTCAAATTCTCAAGGGTTTGGAGGGATTGATATAATGTAAATTGATCAATACGTTTATCTCAAGGAATTTGGCAGCGTAATCACTATCATGGCTTGCATTGCTCAGTTTGTTCATTCTTTATTATTCTAAATTTATCAAAGAGTTGGAACAGTGTGTCTATTGCTACTAACAAATTGACAGGCTCGCATTAGCTTAATTCCACTTAAAGCAATAAAATAAATCTCAGGGCAATTAGGTAACTTTGCACACTTCTGTTATTTACAAAGGAATAGAGAGATTCAGATGTGTATTTCCTTCAGAACAATTACATCAAATGCCATATTTCTCTGACTTTGATTACATTAGAAGTGTTCAGTGAGTATTCACAGCGTGCTCTTTGCACTGCCATGGTAATGAGTTATGTGATATTAGCTCCATTCTGGCAGGATAACTTATGTAAATAACCAACATGATTCTAGTTATGAATATGAGAACAGAACATTCAGTTTGAAACTACATTGTTTCAGTGTGATCCTATTGTTTATTATAACTAACCGAAACAATTCAACTTTGCATAACTGCCCAATATATTTGATGGGGCTATTCTCCTCTAGCAAATCTTTCCATATGAATTATAGTAAAGTAAACTCAGCAGACATTCTTGACAAAGCTTTCCAAATAAAAGTATAATATTATTAGAAATTCATCCAGGATATATTGGAGCTTGGAACTCCAAGCATATGAATATTTATGAATCACAAAATAGTCCCCAAAATATCTGAAGATCAACATTTGTTTGTAACTGAAATAAAATGTATAGAATGTTTCCCCTCACCACTCAGGCCCCATGTATGCAGCAGTCTTAAAAAGCAAGTTGTTGGATCTTTTATTTTGCTGTTCTCAGAATGAGAGGTCATCCTCTCTGTCCATGGAATGTCACTGCAGTAAAACTCAAGCATTGTTGGGAATGTTTTGTCTTTCAGTCCCAAACAAACAGCTGGGTACTGTAAAACCTCAAAAAATCACATCCAAATATCAACACAGCACAAATGAAACATGAAGAATTTCTTGGGGTATTTTGCCCCAGTGGATTAGCAAACATCAGACCAATTGTATCCCATGTCCTGAGCTCTGCCTTTATTTGAGCCTTCCCAGACAAACACCATTTACAGTGATGAAACATTCCCTTCCTGTATCGTTCTCTCCCTCCTCATGCCTAACCAGGTTAACTAAGTACAAAATTCTAATAAATTATAGATCTTCTCACATATCTCCATCTCACATAGAATCATAGAACAGTTAGGGTTGGAAAGGACATCAAGATCAACCAGTTCCAACCCCCCTGCCATGGGCAGGACACCTACCACTAAACCATGTCACCCAAGGCTCTGTCCAACCTGGCCTTGAACACCGCCAGGGATGGAGCATTCACAGCTTCCCTGGACAACCCATTCCAGGGCCTCACCACCCTTACAGTAAAGAATTTCTTCCTTATATCCAATCTAAACTTCCCCTGTTTAAGTTTTAACCCGTTACCCCTTGTCCTATCACTACAGTCCCTAATGAAGAGTCCCTCCCCAGCATCCCTATAGGCCCCCTTCAGATACTGGAAGGCTGCTATGAGGTCTCCATGCAGCCTTCTCTTCTCCAGGCTGAACAGCCCCAACTTCCTCAGCCTGTCTTCATACGGGAGGTGCTCCAGTCCCCTGATCATCCTCGTGGCCCTCCTCTGGACTTGTTCCAACAGTTCCATGTCCTTTTTATGTTGAGGACACCAGAACTGCACACAATACTCCAGGTGAGGTCTCACAAGAGCAGAGCAGAGGGGCAGGATCACCTCCTTCAACCTGCTGGTCACGCTCCTTTTGATGCAGCCCAGGATACGGTTGGCTTTCTGGGCTGCAAGTGCACACTGCCAGCTCATGTTCATTTTCTCATCAACCAACACCCCCAAATCCTTCTCCACAAGGCTGCTCTGAATCTCTTCTCTGCCCAACCTGTAGCTGTGCCTGGGATTGCTCCAACCCAGGTGTAGGACCTTGCACTTGTCATGGTTAACCTTCATGAGGTTGGCATCAGCCCACCTCACAAGCGTGTCCAGGTCCCTCTGGATGGCATTCCTCCCCTTCAGGGTATCAACTGAACCACACAGCTTGGTGTCATTGGCAGACTTGCTGAGAGTGCACTCAATCCCTCTGTCCATGTCAGCAACAAAGATGTTGAACAAGACCGGTCCCAACACCAATCCCTGAGGGACACCACCCATTACTGGTCTCCAGCCAGATATTGAGCCATTGACCACAACTCTTTGCGTGTGGCCATCCAGCCAGGTCTTTACCCACCGAGTGGTCCACCTATCAAATTGATGTCTCTCCAATTGTTGTGGTTTAAACCCAGCCAGACAGCTCGTTCACTCACTCCTCCCCTTTTCCTCCCACTTTCTTTCCTTTCCCCCCTCCTCCCGGAGGGATGGCGAGGAGGATCAAAAGAATGCAACTCCCAGGGGTTAAGACAAGAACTGTCCAGCAACCAATGTACAACACAAATCACCACCACTACCACCAACAACAATGATAAGAGAAAATAACAAGGGAAGAGAATACGATACCACCTGCCAAAAACGAGTCCAACCCAGAAGCCCCTGTGTCCTTCCGGGTAACTCCCACTTACCCCCTGGGCATGACGTGCTGTGGTATGGGACACCTCTTTGGCTACCTTGGGTCAGGTGAGCCAAAGCCAAAGCAAGTCTGCTTCCTCCCAGCTTCCCCTCCTCCCTGGCAGAGCATGAGCCTCACAAAGCCCTTGGTCAGGGTAAACATTACTGAGCAACAACTGAAAACATCAGTGTTATCAGCTCTGCTCCCAGGCTGAGTCAAAACACAGCGCTGCGCCAGCTACCAAGAAGGAGAAAAATTGACTGCTACTGCTGAACACAGGACACCAATTTAGAGACAAGGATGTTGTGTGGGACAGTGTCGAACGCTTTGCACAAGTCCAGGTAGATGACATCAACTGCTCTACCCCTGTTCTGTAGCCCCATCACAGAAGGCCACCCAAATGGTGAGGCAGGATTTCCCCTTAATGAAGCCATGCTGGCTGTCACCAAGCACCTTGTTGATTTTCATGTGCCTTAGCATGCCTTCCAGGAGAATCTACTCCAAGGTTTTGCCAGGCACAGAGGTGAGACTGACTGGTCTGTAATTCCCTGGGTCATCCATTTTCCCCTTCTCAAAAATGGGGGTTATATTTCACCTTTTCCAGTCATCGGGAACTTCACTTGACTGCCATGATTTTTCAAATACGGTGGACATTTTAGCTTTCCCACTATACCACGAGGGATTAATTAATTCTCCCGAATTAAGAATAAAAATAAAATCACATCCTCCCTAGGATATTAAGAAAAGTTTTTCTGTGGTGTTAATCTCAAGCTTGTATGAAAAGTGTCTCAATTTCTCATTGCGAAGAATGCTCACATACTTTGAATGCAGGAATATTGAAGCCTTTTTATGTTAAAGGCAGCAAACTTCCAGGGCTGTTGAGAATGTGAAACTGCTTAAAGCATCACCATAAGGTTCAGACTTTTCCAGCCATGATAAAGCCAGACAGTGCCAGTGTAAGAGAGGCCTGAACTCTGTTTTTACTATCCCTTTTGATTTCAGCCTTAGAATCTGATCTTAGAATCTGATTATTTTCATCCCCTGGATGCAACTTCAGTGAAGTTTTATCTTTCAGCAGCAGAATTAACCTTTTTAGTAAAATCATTCTCTTTTAATCTCAATGTATCCTATTTTGCATTGCTTTGCCTCATATGAGCACTGCTTTGCTAGCCTCTTTCCAAGGTTCAGGGATAACAAGACACAGGTGGTCACAGCTAATTCCTACTTGAAACACCTTCCTGATCACACCCTTTTGGTTGGAAGGTATAAATTACTGTGGTGCTCAGCTTTGTTGGTAAGAAGGGGTTTTGGATTGTGTGTGTTTTGTACTGGAAGTCTCTGGCGTCTATGGATCCACATGTTGTTACTCTAATGCTCTCTGGTAAGACAAGATTATGAGGGATTCATACTGAAAACTGTATCTTTGTAGCTAGTGTTTTCTGCTGAGTACTCTTTGTAGTCTGTGTTTATGCAGCAGAACCTTGAAAATGAAGCAATTAAAGAAGCTGAAGTATCTTTGAACTGGTCTAAAAATCTCAAGGTTTTTTGGGTAGAATTATTTAGAAAAAGTGATTTTTTTTTTTAATGGTTCTTTCAACTCTGAAGCTAAAGTCACATTTGGCACACATTGAAAATTAGATTTCTTTCAGTATATTGCTGCCTTGCTTTTGCAAGTGGCTCTGGATTAGGATATGAGGGAAGTGGGAGGCTAATTATCTAAAGTGAATGCAACAAATATTGTATAAGCCTCATAAAGGTCCATCTGAATTTGCTTCTGGCTGAGGCAGTGGTAACAGTTCTGACATCTTTAGAGACAATTCTCTTTCTTTTCATGAAGTATGATTCTTCAACACCACATTTTAATAGTGTGAAGACATTAAACTTCCCTCTAATTTTCTAAGGTAATTAAGGAAATAGAAGTTTGCTTCCTGGCAGCCTACCTTCTTTTGCAATCTCTAGTGTGTATATTCAGATGTAACTGAGTTTGTCACTTTACTAAATTAAAAATTCATAAGTAAAAGATTGATACTTGAGCCTAGAAATAATTAAGAACTTATGAACAAAGTTTCTGTTTCATTGAAAATGCTCTTACAAGGTCCTAACTTTGTAGTATTTAATTACAAATGCCCATGGATTTCAAAGGCAAAATTTCAGCAACTAAAAACTGCAGAATTTAGTCAAAGATAAGGGGTGGGTAATCCTTTGGGATCCTAAAGAGAATCATGTGGATGTGCTGGTCTGTTTCCTGAGGTGTTACTGTGTCATTAAGGCCCAGATTTGCACTTTTGCTCCCAGCACTCAGTTGACTCTGCAAAGAGTCTTTCAGATGAGATTTCAGAAGCACTTGAACGGTGCTTTGTGGACTTGTGGCCTTTTGACTACCTTCATTAGTCAAGCATGGAGAACAGCTAATGATGTCTCCCAGGTATTTAATCAGAAGTCCTGCAATGCAGTTAGGTTACTGCTTTAATGGCCTGTCAGTTGATTTGCAGCCAGATATTGGCATATTAACAGTTTTTCTTCTTTGAGTGCTTCACTTATGAAAGGCTCTCTCTTGGGATCCAGTCAGGGTAACATGGTTTGCCACCGTGAATGTGTAGAGTAACTGCTGTCCTTATCCAGCCTTTAAAAACTTAAAGAATCAGGAGTGATAAAAAAGAATGACTAAAGATGCTTGCAAGGCTGTATGGACTGGTTGTTCATGTCTAGTTGTGCATATTACTAAGGCTTCCCTGGTTATTTCCCTGAAGAAAGCCCTCTGTTTTACCACTGCCTGCATTTCTTGGAATCTACCTATATGGTAAAAAATATAAAAGAGCTACCTTGATGAAATGAATGTTTCTTAAAGAGTTGCTTGGCCACAGAAAGTATTAAGAAAATAACTTGGGTAACCCCTGGGCTATCTGATAGCTCAGCTATTTCCAGGCAGAAAGGAGTTTATATTGGTGTGGCATACTTGTGTTGATCTAACTGTATCCTCACTAGAGCAGCTGTGACTACTGCCAGCACTACAGCTGGTTCTGGCCTTCTTCAAGGGCCTCATTCTGACACCATCCTGCTTAAACCTTATTTCTATGGGCAGCTATGCACAAGAATACCCTAATTGCAAAACCTGACGTCGATTTTGCAGGTCTTCAGCTTTTCTAAATACAACATAGAAATTGTCGGTAGGTGTTAAGGCAGCCAAGAAAGAAAAACAGCAATAAAAAGTTTGGGCTTTCTGACTCTTGTGTATTGATGTGAAGTCTAAACCTCATTAAAATGTAGCCATGGAATAAGATTTCTCACATAGGAGAGCCAGAGCCTTAACTTAGAAAAATAGGTTTTGTATGAGTAGATTTTTTTCCTTTTTCCTTTCTGGGCACAAGAGCATTTCCTCAACAGAATGTGGATTATTTCCTTGCTGTTTAGTAGCTTCAGAAACAACAACTGTGTCCGAAGAGAATCGGAAAGCCAGATTCGAGCACCTGTACCTGCCTGACGCCTTGATCAAAATTCAGTGCTTGTACAATTGCAGAGAGATTCTCCTGTGCCAGCTGCTGTATGTGAGTGCCTAATGAAATACAGCGCAGCACAAACCCTGCTGGAGTCGAGTCCTCACCAACATCTTAGGAAGTCAGAAAAAATGTCAAACTTTCCAGCTCGGTTGTTTGGGCAGATTTGGAGTTACCTATAACAATGTTGAATGAGACACCTTGATTCCTGCTTAAAGCAACCTCGGACCTACTGAGTAGGTGACTCTGCCCTGGTGAGATCTGGAATACACCTAGCTGCTGGAGAGAGTCCAGCGCAGGGCAACCAAGATGATTAAGGGAGTGGAGCATCTCCCTTATGAGGAAAGACTGAGGGAGCTGGGTCTTTATAGTTTAGAGAAGAGACTGAGGGGTGACCTTATTAGTGTCTATAAATATATAAAGGGGGAGTGTCACGAGGATGGAGCCAGGCTCTACTCAGTGGCAAACAATGATAGGACAAGGGGTAATGCAAATGGAACACAATGTCTGAACTGGAACAGGCTGGGATCCACAAAGAAAGCAGGTGTTCCTGCTCTGGCAGGGGGATTGAGGCTGAGGATCTCCAGCATACTGTGATGACTTACACCTACTAATGAAAAGGATGCAGGGGAAGGGAGGGTGCATAATGCCAATGTCTGAACTCTGGGATCCACAAAGAAAGCAGTATTGAGGCTGATGACTGTGGTTCAGGATAGACTGCATTGGAGAATTGCCCCTAAGGTGGGAAATTTTATGGCACAAAACCTGACTTCTGAGGGCTAAGCTGAGAGCTTATTTCACTATCTGTATTGGAAACAAGTCTCTGCAGAAATGAAGAAGCCTTTTTCAATGAAAAGGGCACCTTTCTCATAACACTTAAAAGAACACATGGAATTTTTGTTCACCTCAAGAAGATGATACCATTCTTCAATTCTAAATACATTTCAATGTGTGTGTTATATTTTTTCCCCTCAGACCACACTGATGTTGTCAAAACTATCTAACTCTCAAAGGCTACAGAGAAAATACTGCAGAACTGAGAATGTGAGTTGGGGATGCTATGTCAGTGGTGTTCTGACAGTGTTTTAACAAGGGGATCTACAAAACAGCTCTTTTCTAGCAGCAGTGAAACCACTAGGGAAACTTGTGGGTATGTGCCAAGAGGAGAGAGAAAGGTTGAGATTCATGGTAAGAAGATTGTGGCATTTGTAATACACTTGCGGTGTGCTTGTGATACACTGCCATTGTTGCTTGGGTGATTAAAGAGATTAAACAGCTTCCAACACAGAGCAATGGAGCGGCTTGTAAAGTCAATAAGGGCAAATTTTTCTTTTGGGGTGTTTTTTTAACCAAAGGGATAAATGGTCTGTGAGCTGGTAGCAGAGATGTAGGGAGGAGTCCCTGCCCCTGCTGTGCAGTGCTTGGACATCTTTAGAGCAAGCCCTCACAGACAAAAAAATAACAAAATCAAAGCTTATGGGAAGACTTTGTATTCATGGGGCACAGCTTAATGTTCAGGCTGTCTCCAGTGAGATGTAACTCAGAGGTCTGAGGCTGCAATATTTCATCCAGGACCTGAACTGCATGGGGCATGTCTGACCTGCTGTAGGAGCAGCCAACCCACCCGGCTGCGCGCTGCCTTGGCCAGGGCAGCCGCACACAGCAACCAGCACGCAGAGTGCTCCAACCAGTTCCCTTCTGACCTCAAAATGTCTGTCCTGCTTTCAGGGCACCACACACCCCCCTCGGGCCCCAGTTTTGGGAAAAGAATACGGTGCTTGTCCATGTACCATCCCAGTTAATGAGGGAAGTCTCTGGCAGAATGAGATGCTGGTTCTGCTGGACTTCTTGACTTGCTCCTTATAAAGCAGTTCTTAGAGGAGCTAAGTTAATATATTTTGCTCAGATATTTGGTGTTAAGCGAATTAATGGGACAAGGGCTCAGAGAGGAATTTTCAGTGAGATTTAGTAAATGATTTGGGGAGTTTCTTTTGCTTTTTTGTGGCAGAAAGAGATGTGGTCCTTTCTTTAGGTGTTTCATCTCAGAAATTCCATGGAATTGGAGGGACTCATACTCAATATAATGTCCTTGGTCTTTCCTGCTGTGCTGCTGAGACACTGTCCTGGGTTCAGCGCTTAAACCATGACATACTGGTTTTGTAGCCTTCATTTTTAAAGGCATTTGGAGCATTTAATGGCTTGGGGGGGGTTGAGGAATGCTTTGGAGTAAACACCACTTGTGTGGTCATGATGACAGGGAATTGGTCTTGGTGATCCAGGTGTCTCTTCCAATTTCTTTTTTTTTTAACAGGCATCTCTTTTTAAAGAAAAGATGTCTTAAAGGGGATAAATATCTTTTATTTACATTTTTTTATTCTCAGGTCAAAAAATACGGACATGTGAACTCTGTGACCATCACTGAAGCACATGGTCTTTCTTTTCAGCGTCAGCTAATTGGCTTTTTTAAACTTGGATCTACCGGTGAAGGGCAGTATATTCACACATGTGGAAAATGAAAGAGGAAGAAAGAAAATTGCCCCAGTGAGTTTCCCCATTTCATACCCCTATTAGTCTTGTAAGAGGTCTCTTGATGTCACAGGAATGAAGCTACTCGGGACATTTTCCACCCACCCAGGAGGCAGGAAGTCCAGTGTGCAAGGATTACATTGCTTTCTTATGTACTGCATTCTTGGATTACTTTATGATTTTGTTCTTGCTAAAGCAAGAAATTTGAATGCTTATAGAGGTAGAGAAACCAGCACAGAATAAACAGTCGCAGACATGAAGAGGCTATGGCATTCACACCACTGCATGTCCCCAGACACTGTCTTTCACCCATGCTTACGAGGAGGCAGCTCGCATCCATGATTATTCTAACATTGGCTTCATCCCTGCAAATTCTATTTGCTGTGACACAGTAAGAGGCTGAAAAGGGCAAGAGGGGCTCCTTCACCATGGACCAGGAGCCACTTCTGTACCAGAATGACTGTGAGCTGGCAGCTGCAGGCTGTTTCCAATCCAGGCTCTGCTGGAGAGCCGCTTTGCCGCCTCTTGCAGCCTTAGGGCAAACTTGTGTGATTGCTTCAGCTCACCTAGCAGAACGCTGCTGCAGTACAGCCTTTCCTGGTTCTTTCCATGTCTGCTGCTGGCTCCCAACCATGTGCACTAAGCTGGTGCTGTGGAGCTCATCAGCCTCTCATGAAACTATGGGTGCTGGCTAATGTGCAAGGAGGTGCAATATTTCCAGCATCCAGGACTTGGAGAAAAGCAAAGTCTCATGTTTTGGCCCTGGGTCCCAGAAGTCCTTTGACTCTGAGCAATTGCCTGGGCCACGGAGGAGCCCCAGGGTGGTAGCACAGCACTGACTTGGGTACATGTGCCTTGGGAATGGGCACAGCTGACCAGGGATGTCTGATTCACCCAAAAACATGAACTGGGTATAGGGAGAAATGACAAAAGGGAAGTAGACTGAAGAATTGACTGTGCATTAGGAATCTTTGTGGAGTTCGTTAATTTTGAGATGAATTGAGAGCATTAGTCTTGCAAGTGAGATCACCCTCAATATGAGTCTAACTGGAATTTATCTATCAGAAAGTGGAATGAAACTATTCAAACTTTCTATGAAGCTACTTGTTAAAGATCACTGGCTTTCAGTTGCAGTAGATTAAGGTTGGCAGTGAATTTCTGATTCATAACTAAAAAGACATCATTGTCATCTTCTATGCTGGAAATTCTTAATACAATTTCTTTCATTTTTAAGTCATTTGCCTAAATAGAGAAGAAGACTGACCTTGCAATTAGAGCACATGGCAGAAACAAATCTCGTGTTTGTATTGCTATAGTCGGGTAACTTGATCAGTATGTTAATTTCTCAGTATTAAATGCCATGGTAATCCACACTGGGACCTTGTGAATTCCATAAGAACAGTAAAGACTATTGGTGTGAAATTATTGCAGGGAAGGTACAAATGCTTAAATAATAAGTCAATGAAAGCAGTTGCAAGCTACTAAATTGAAATGGAAAACTGCATCAAGTAATGTTTTCTGCTGTTCTTGGTGGATTGAACTTTGACAGTCCAGTTGCTGATCCTCCTTAAACATGTTATCCCAGAGGTGCTACCGCTGTCACTGATGGGTTTCAGCCTTGGCCAGTGATGGGTCCATCTTGGAGCCAGGTAGCATTGGCTCCATTTAACATGGAGGAAGCTTCTAGCAGCTTCTCGCAGAAGCCACCCTTGTAGCCTCCTCCCACGTCCACCCAGCTACCAAAATCTTACCAGACAGCATCATGTCACTTAGTAGTAGGTGAAAAGGCAGTGTGACGTAGAGACCAGTGTGTAACCCAGTATAGACTACTGCATATGCTTTGCAGGGTTGTGCAAAGCAAATTAACTTGTTCAGGACAGTTTCCTAATGTTTGCTATGCCAGCTCTGTTTGCATTAGTTCTCTTGTTCTGAAACTTGAAGCTTTTGGCTGGAATAATTCTTCGTTTCCCATAATTAGATCTTTTTGTGAAAGCTATTGGCAAGATTTGGTTTTGATATCATCTTCTGCCATTGCATGCTTGCATCGGTCACATGAACTTTGTTGGCACACCACAAGTGAGACTTGTAGTCACATTGGAAAATACATTAGTTGCCCAATTTGAATGTCACAGATACATTTGAAGTTTCGGATGCCAGCAACAGTCACAAAGTGTTAATGAGGTCTGGGTTTAGTGAAAATGTTCACAAAGTTCAAATAAACTGCAGTTTCTGAGGGGCTGTTTTGAAAATCACTGAGGTTTGAGAATTCTGGATCTGGTTTAAGCACTGCAGACGATTCCTTAATAAAATGAGCATGAACTAAAGCCTAGAATTAAACACAAGAAAGGTTAAAGTTGGGTACAAAATGCAAACTGGAATGTATAAATGGTAGACAAAATATTATTCAAGTCAAGCATTTTATACAACTTTATTACCTTCAAAGCAGAGGAGGTTCTGCTGAAATGCACTTGAGGGGGATGAGCATGAAGGGAATGTAAACAAATAAGAGACTCTATGGTTTGGAAATTCAGCAGAAGTCTGGAGAAAGAAACTCAGCTTGTCTATGGTTAGAAGGATGCGGAGGAGAGTGTGTAATAGGAACTAGCAGGTAAGGAAGGCAGCTGGGACCCTGGAGATGTAAGGATGGGGACAGGATGGAGGCTGTGGGACAGAGGGCTGAGAAGGAATGATGCCAACCATGGTCTGCAGTTGCTACAGCAGGTTCTTGGCAGAGATAAACAAGGGACTTGGGGCTTCTGGTGGTCAGTGTGACATCACTGCCAGCAAACAGACAGAAACTACTCAAATTACATGTCAAATCTCATCCTACTTGCAGAGCTGATGGTGGTCCCTGGCTCCCACCATGTCTGTCTTTACCTTATTTGTGGGTGTTCAAAGGCTCTTGATGACCTAAACAGCGTCAGTGTGACATGACACGATGGAACTTCTGTATTTCCGGTTTGGTTTTGTTTATTTGTAAGTCTGTAAGAAAAGTACAGACAGAATAACCACAAAAAATTACTGAAATTGCAAGTCAGTTACTAAGATACGTACAAAAGCCCAAAAGAATAACTTCCACTTGAAGGGTAGTGGTGTGGGTATGGGAGGGGATGAGACTCAAACATCTCTACAGCCCATGTGAGTGCTGCAGAGGAAACTTGTATCAGAGCATCTGTGCTCTTCTGTCAGATCAGAAGTTCTACTGAAAAAATAATCTTCATAGTTTATTCTGGTTTATTTTGGAACAACAAGAAGTTTGCAGGTACTGATTAGTGTTTCTGAGATGTGTCCATCTTGCTTTTCTTCTTGTTTGGCAGCACCGGGAGTATGACATTAAAATCCTTCTTGTCTGTACTTAATCTCTACCAAGCAGTCAGAAATTCCTTAAGTCCTACTGCCATTTCGCAAGTCACATCTGTAAATACCAGGAGTGAAATCCTGACCCAGTACAACGAGCACATGTTTTTGTACATTTTAAGTTAAATATTCTTTTATTTAAATGAAGCAGAGATACGGCTTCAGTCCTTGAGCACCTTGAAATCATCAGCCAAACCTTGACTCCAAAAGAGTCAGTGTAACATCACCAGTCATAGTTACGGAGCTGTGTGTTGACATGAAAAATACATGACACAAGAATTGATTGGTTGATGTCCAATACAATGTGCTAGGGTTTTATGTCAGAAAAAACAACATTCAAAATCAATGCTTGCTAAGTTCTCCTCAGCAAATGAAGGAAATCAGTTTTATCATTATTTTTAATAAGTAACACTGATTTTTCACAGTGTGAGAGGCTGTTCTATGTAGAATACGGTAAAACTCTAAAGCAGAACTGGCTGATCAGCAGGACAGGGTATGTGCAAAATTTTGGTACAGTTAAAGAGAATTAGCACATGTTCTGTGCTTTAAGGATGTTATTTCTTTAAAGCTATTTTCACTGTTGGGACATGCTTGGGCTTCAGTGTTGTTTTTAAATAATACACAAGAAACATAAGGGATTTTTTTCTTATGCAGTGTTTTTCCATTGAATATTGAGCCAGGCCATCACACCCTCTAAAAAGACACAAATCTAATTCCACCCTACGCTATCCACTGGCAGAAGATAATGACAACATGGCAGCACCTTTGAGTTTGCATCAGAACTTGTTTCCCTGACATGCAAACCAAGTTCACAGACCTGGGCTTACAGACAGGTAAAACCCTCCTCCACCAAGCTGCAGGCAGGCACACTGCACCTGCCCGATGGCTTTTGAAGGTACTAATCTCTGAAATCACAGGTTTTCTGGCCTTTGTATTTCACTGGATCAAATTACACTCCTCTCCACAGCAAATGTGTTTTCTTCCCTTACTCACTGGATCTACAGCTCTTAATGTCGTTCTTTCTCACCATCCTCCAGCTGGCAGCTAGTGAGATATTCCACCAGCCCCACTGTGACAGCAGTATCCGTGGCTCAGTTTTCATGCCCCTGGGGTATGATCATCTACAGACCTGTTACTTCTGGCTCTGGAGATGATTTAGCAGTAGAAACGCTGTTGTCTCAAATAAGAAAACCCAGCAAACGTATCATGCTTTATTTTCCCATACAAGATTTCTGTGTGTCTTTGAGAGAGATGTGGCAGGTACAGCAGAGGAGGAACAGCACAGGGTGAGAATGTCCAAGTTGCTTTGAGCTCTTCATTTAGTTTGGGAGTTTGCTTCACATGAACTTCGTCAGAGATGTTGGAGGGGAAACACACTGTTGTCTGTGCAAACACACCACTTTGCTTAAAGTGTAATGGCTGCTGCTCTTCATATTCACATGGCTGCTGCAGCAGTGCACTTCCCTGTGACAATGAAGAGCCAGTTCCAGGCTTCTGGGGTTTGAGGTCAAGTTAGGTCTTACTTCTTAGTTCTGGGGGAAGTACTACAGTGAGCACAGACTTACGTCTTCTGTGAAAGGCTTAGTATTTTATTACATAATAAACAGAGCTCCACTTCTGACTCATCACTTTGTTTTTTTCCCCCTATATGTAAATGAAACCACAGAGTTGTTTTGACTGGAGCTGGTTGTACATCCCTAGATAACCACTCAGCAACTGGAAGCTTTGCTGAAGTCAAGGAGGCTATTCTAATCAGTGCCTGCGTACTCCACGTCTGGCTCCTCTCAGAAGGAAACAGTTTTTAACATAACAGAACTGCCTTAGTATTTTGAAACTGAAAATTAGAACTTGGGGAGGGGAGAAATTGTGACTGCATCAGGAAAAAGTACTATTTATTTTGAAATCACGTTCTGTGCATTGCAATGACTTTATATGATACACAGGTAGTCCTGAATTGCCAGGTTTAGGCTGAAGCTGTTTTGTCTTGTGGTGAGTGAGAAGGTGGACACGAGCAGCACCAACCTACACTATGCTACTGGGGGAATGTGCAGTGAATATGCACAGTGGTGTCAGTGGACATAGATGCAAGGTACTGAATGGTATTTCAAAACAGCATCTCTTTTCTCATGCTGTGACGGAGGAGGCTGTGGCCCGATGTATTAGAGCATATGAAGGATACCACCAGAATAGTGGTCTAAGGGCTTCTTCTGGGCATTCGTTAATTTCCCGAATTTATCTTGGACAGATAAAACATTGCTGAGACTCGAGGTGGTTCCTTTCCAGTGAAATTGCGAAGGGAAACTCTCAATTTTCTTTTTTACCAGGATTCCCCTTCCAACTGAAAAAAAAAATGAGTTCTTTAGGAGCAGTGGCTTTAAATTTTCCTTCCCAAATGCAGATATGCTAAAGTTGCTTGTGAGGAATATTAAACTTAGCTGCATTCTGCTGGATTTCAACACTATAAATCCTTGTTTAAAAACACAAAATGAGAAATGGAGGTAAAGTGTTTCTAGGTTAAACCTTTTAGCGAAGTATTTGGACAATGAATAGTGGTAACAGGCATAATCTGTATACAACTACATGCAATGTTATCTACTCGTGCCTTGTCCACATCATACAGTTTTATATGTGCTGTCCATAGAAATGTACCTAGGTCTTTTCTACCACATTTCTGCATCGCTTACAAGGAATTCAGATTCAAGTCGTAGTAAAAAATACCACACGTTGTTGCAGAGCTGACTTCCGTGGAAGCTATGTGATGACTCCAGGAACATGGCTGTGTTCATACCACATCCTGTGTCTGTGGTGTTTCTGCCAGCTGGCTCATGGAGCAGTGCCAGGCACGGGATGCTGACCACAACCTGCAGTGTGACCAGCTCTTTCAGCCAGCATGAAGTTCCCTGCAGGTCTGGATGGAGGTGTCCTTCCATTAGGATACTCACAGTAGTTCTGTATATTCATTAAATTCACTTGGTTGAGATAACAAAAGCAGAAGGTAGCAGTTCCCATACAAAGG